ATATTTCACTAAAAGTAAAATGCTACAATTTTTGTTTTACTGTGAGACATAGTCCATGTAACCCAAGTCTTGCATTAGAGTCAAGATAACAAAAAACCTGGTTCTACAATTTTCATTTTTATGACATCAATTATGTTTCCAAGTGGAAAATGAAGTGCCAGTAATGTTACTACAGGAAGAGATTTCTACACCCAGGTAGTTTTAAACTGTTTTTCATTTCTTTGGAATTTCCTGTTTGTAAATGCTTCTATTTTTTCTTCTATGAAGATGAGATTCTTGGGAGTAAAAACACCTAGGTATGTTAACTGAAATTTTAGGATGAAAAAAAAGACAGTTCTATATGATCAATATTATTTAATAATGTTCTACCAACAAACTTCCATTTCTAATGTTCATCCTATTTTCACAATTATTTTCATAGATTTTACTGAACTAGTTTAGAGCCAATTTGTGTGTGTGTGTGTGTGCATGTGCGCGAGCACATGTGCATGTGTATGCCACATCTCCACTTTTTTAGGGGGTAGATATTGGATAGTTTTGTGGGCTTTCCTGCTTGATCTGGCTTCAAATCACAACCCTCAGATCTCGGCCTCCTGAATAGCCACAAACACAAACATGAGTGTTTGACTGTCAGTTTCTTGCTTCCTGCCTGAGTAGGGAAGGAAATAACATTTATCTAAAAAATAACCAGTCTTCCAAGATATGGAAACAAAAACTTTTCTTCTTTTATTTTAGTTTTAAGTTTTTGATGATTTTTGTCTTCTTTTCCTTATGTATGATATACTCACATATATATCTTCTGGTGGGCTGAAGGAGGATGCTCAAGGAGAACTCAAGTGAAAAAGGGTGGAAAAGTACAGCAATGAATCTCACTGGACACATAAAAGTGAACTATACAATTTATGGTGGAGATGGGAAGGGAGGGTCTGGGAGAGAGGGAACAAAAGACGCCATATGAAAGGGTATGTTCTTAACATCTGACTCATGTAATTTCAATTCCACTGTCCATCTCCTTAATACATCATCTTTATAATAATAAAATAAATTAATAAAACAATCAACTCTTCTGGGCATTAGTGGCTCATACCTATAATCTTAGCTAGTTAGGAGGATAACATCTGAGAATTGAGATTTGAAGTCAGCTTGGGCAAGAAAGTCTACAAGATTCTTATCTCCACATAAGCACCCAAAAAAGGCTCAAGGTGTACCTGTATGAAGTGGTCAAACACTAGCCTTGAGCAAAGAGCTCAGAGACAGCACTCAGGACCTGAATTAAAGTCCCAAGACTGGCACAGACACACATATACAGACACACACAGACACACACAGACACACACAAAACAACAAAACCAAAAGCAAAAAAAAAAAAAAAATATTAAAAAAATATATATATATGTCCAGAAAAGAAGAACTATGATTTGTACTTTAGCAGCCAGCAGAACAGTGTCAGGCCTTGAAAAAAATAGAAATAAGTAAGAAGGAAATTGCCTTCTAATAAATAGTAGAAATCAGACTTCATTTTTTAAAGTTTACAGTTTAAATGTTATCAGGAATGGACAATGGGAAATACTTTTTTTTGTCAGCTGTGGGGCTTGACGCAGGACCAGGGTGCTATCCCTCAGCTCTTCAGCTCAAGACGAGGACTCTACTGCTTGAGCCACAGCACCACTTCCAGTTTTCTAGTGCTTTAATGGAGATAAGAGTCTCATGGACTTTCCTGCCTGGGCTGGCTTTGAACCATGATCCTCAGATCTCAGCCTCCTGAGCAGCTAGGATTATAAGCAGGCGTGAGCCACCTGGGCCCAGCAAAAATTGGGAAATATTTATCTAGGAAAAAAGAACATCACAAACAAATTTATAAAGGCAATAAATATAGAAATAATTTAGCAAACAAAAGTGCTATTTTTTAAGGTTGTCATTCATTTAATTATTTTTTTGTGTGTATATGCCAAGATTGTGTGTATATGTTCAAGATTGGCACATTATTACTTGATTCACAATTCTAATCAATGCTTTTTGGTGGTTAATTGGAGGTAAATGTCTCACAGATACTCTGACTAGCTTTGAACTCTGATTCAAATCTCAGCCTCAGGTAGGATTACAGGTGTGAGTCACTGTTACCCTGCACACATTCTGCTCTTGCTTTACTTTAAAATAAGACACAGATCTGAGACAAGCAGAAACGGTCGGATAAGTTAATGTTAGGCGAAATGAACCCCAAGATAAGGGGTTCAAATAGTTTTTCTTTCTTGCTATTGTTTCTAACATATTTTTATAACCCCTGTTTTCACTGTATGCAATGTTTGTATAATTTGTGGAGGGGAAGGGAAAAAACAAATTGTTTAAATAGGGATGCAGGTGGACCTATTGCAACAATGAGATGTACAAGACGTTATGTCGAAAACGAGCATGCTTGAGGCCCTGGGTTCGATTCCTCAGCACCACGTAAGCAAAAAAGAAAAAAGCCGGAAGTGGTGCTGTGGCTCAAGTGGTAGAGCACTAGCCTTGAGCTGAAGAGCTGAGGGACTGTGCCCAGGCCTAGAGTTCAGGCCCCACGACCGGACCCCCCAAAAAAAAGAAAAAAAGAAAAACGAGGTTTACAACTTTGGCAGGGCGCTTGGGGGTGGGGGTGGGGGGCAGAGGGAGGAGAGTGGGGAGTGGAAAGGCATGGGAAGGGAAAACGAAGGAGGAAACAATACTTGATAAGAAATGTACTCATTGCCTTGCTCATGTAATCCCTCTTACGGTATTTTCACACACAAAAGATTGGAGGGGAGGGGAGATGGGAGTGATGGGATGGTAGGGAGAAAAAAGGAGGAAGCAACAATGCTGGATAAATGTACTCATTACCTTGCTCATGTAACTGTAACCCATCTGTACAGTATTTTCACAACAAGAAACTTATTTTAAAAATAAATAAAATAAAATAAAACACAGAGAGTAACTTTTGTAGGAAAGCAAAGATAAAAATAAAGCCCTCGTATGAGATGTAATCCTCTTGATGTTTGTGGAATTTAGGTTAACAACATAATGAGGCTAGAATACAGACAGAAAACATTTTTGTACATCACTACCTGACTAATATTCAGTATTAAGTTATAAGTTAATTTGCTATGCATGAAAGTATATTTGGTATGGCAAAACTGCAACCAGTCACTATTTTATTTTTAACTATAAAACAAGTTACTTCAATTCTTCAAAATTCACCTATCTTTCCATGAGTTATGAGAATACCACTTTTATAGCCTTTAATTGGCTTCATTAATAATGCTGTATTATGATTCCAGCTTTTGTTCCCTTGAATAGAAATCTCTAGTCTCCCTATCAATTTCATTTCCAGAACAGTATCTTTTGCATGCATATTCTCCATTCTTGCATCTTGTTAACTTCATCATGGAATTCTTATTTGTTTCCAAATTCATGACAGCAGTTCTCATAGTAATTTCACCAAAGAAAAATTAGTAGCAATTTTCAAAGATATTGAATGGAATCCCTCTTAAGCTTAATTTCCTAACTTACCTAGAAAATCCTAGGTAAGTCAGCAGACTTTTAAGAACAATTTAAAAATTTTCTAATTTTTCTAAGTATTTGAATCTTTGCCTCTATAGTGTACTAATGAAGGTTGGCATTAGTTATCTGGCTCACATTTACTTTATGTGTCAGCCAACCAATAATGTTTTTTAATCTAAAACTTTACTTAAATGGTAAAAATCATGTTTTAACATAATCAAATTTTTATAAAAATAACAAAAATACAATTTTAAAACTACTAGAGACAGTCATATATCATAACATTATGATGAAAGAAATTTCGGTTCAAATAGGCAAAATTAGGCTTTGAAGCAATTCATCTGTACAGTTCAAAAATGTGTTTTTAAATAAAGTTTATAATTGAAATATTTTAAGTAGTCATTTGACAAGCATCAGAAAAGTTTTAAAAGTAACAACCAGACCAACACAAAGGATGTAGAGAAGAGATGCTTTAAAATATTTGGGAGTTATATTCAGAATATATTGTTTTGCTATTTATTTTCTGTTCATTCCTATCTTTTTCTATTTCTGGTTCAAAAATAAAACTTATTGGGGCTGGGAAGGTTGCTCAGTGGTGGAGCGCTTGCCTTGCATGTCTGAGGTCCTGGGTTTGATTCCTCAGCACCACATAAGCAAAAAGAAAAAAGCTGGAAGTGGTGCTGTGACTCAAGTGGTAGAGCACTAGCCTTGAGCCGAAGAGCTGAGGGACAGCGCCCAGGCCCAGAGTTCAAGCCCCACAACCGGACCCTAAATAAATAAATAAATAAAATAAAACTTATCTATGTTAATAAGTTCTGATGTTTTTCCTAGTCCTTCCTGTAGTGATTTCTGCTTTTACATTAATAGCTCTGGTTAGCAAAATTGAATTCGATACAGAATAAGAGATAGGGGTCCAATTTCAATTTTTTGTATAGATATCCAAACATTTTCTTGGTGTAGTATTGTAGGACATTTAGCCTTTCTACAACTTAGTTGTAATCAATAAAATATCTTGAATAGTATATATTAGTAGCATTTAGGAAAAAATATGAATGTGTGAATTTTTCATAATCATAAGTATCTTTGTTCTTCCTTAATTATGTGTAACTACTTAGAAACATAATTTTAAAAAGCTCCAAAACCTCTAAATTATTTTCTTACCTTTCATCAACCTAATTCCTTAGGGGTAAATATACTAAACAGTTCACACTATTGTTGCCTCAGAGAAGAGGGACGACAGCAGGTTGGGTGCTGGTAGCTCATGCCTATAAACTTAGCTACTCAGGAGGCTTAGATCTGAGGATCATAGTTCTGAGGCAGCCTGGATAGGAAGTACATGAGACTCTTACCTCTAAAAACTACTTCAAAAAACCCAGAAGTGGTGCTGTGACTTGTATAGTAGAGCACTATCCTTGGGCACAAAAAGGCTCAGAGACAGCAACCAAGCACTGAGTTTAAGTCCCAGGACCAGCAAAAAATAAAGTACTTACTTAACCATTTCAAAAAGCTTGGGATCCGAAACTTTGATATTTCGTGCCATATTCCAGGAAAGATGAACCATAGGTACTACAGACTTCACATTTTGCAATTTGTTCCATTCATAGCGTTCTACAGCCAGTTTATACTGACAGGCTGGGGGGGGGTGGGGGGGGGAAGGAGGGAAGCAACAGTTATAAAGTATCAAAATATGAAGATATGCAAGTTATTACTGTTAGTATTATCCCCATATAAAGTCCTCAGCTTCACCCAGACCTGAGCTCCTCTCTGCCCTAGAGGTCCCTGCCATAGAGCTGGCTACTCCCTCTCTTCTTCCCAGACATACTTGTGCATGCTACCCCTCTAGAGCTACCCACCTGAATAGGGGCAGATGCCATATTGCTCCCTTTCCTAGGGGAAATATGGCCCCTCTAAAAAAAAAACCTTAAAATCTCTCCTACCTTTCTCTGCCTGGTCCCCTGTTATGGTCATGTTGGATCCTAAATATTACATCTCAAATTTTAAGTTCAACACAATTCTCAAAAAGTCTACTGTATAAAAAATATAGTATGTAAGGCTGTTTTTACAGAATGTATTACATTTCCTTCTGAAGTTTCCTTGATTCCCTCGATTCCCTCTCCACATTTTATAGTGGGTAAAGTGAGATGTTAAAAAGTTAAAAACAAGCAAGCCTTGAGCCAGTGACTCACATTTATAATCCAAGCTAAACAAATGTTAAGATACAAAGGATAGAGATTTGAATGTAGTCTGTTCAATAAAAATCCATGTCTAACATAACTAAAGAACTGGGAAATGGGATAATGTCTATAACCCTGGCTATTCAGGAGACTGGGATGTGAGGATCTCAATTTGAAGCTAGCCTGGGCAAGCAAGTTCATAAGACTCTTTTCTACAATTAATTAGCAAAAAGCAGGGAGCAAATCTATGGCTCAAGTGGTAGAACACCAGCCTTGAGTGAAAGGCTAAAGGTCAGAACTTAGGTTCTGAGTTCAAGTCATAGTACCAACACAAATCATAAAAGACAAAAAAAAAGTGCAAAAAGCAGGATTGGATGCATAGCTCAGATAATAAAGGCCATTGAGAAAGCAAGCTAAGCAAGTTTAAGCTGCTAATTTTCTAGTACCACCCAAAAAAATAAAAAACAAAACCAACTTACTCAAAATTAAAACTATGTACTTAGGTATTCTTTCATAAATAAATATTTTTAGAAAGATAGAAAGTATACGGAAGTGGCACTGTGGCTCAAGCTGTAGAGCACTAGCCTTGAGCTGAAGAGCTCAGGGACAGTGCCTAAGCCCAGAGTTCAAGCCCCACGACCAATCTCCCCCCCCCCCAAAAAAAGTACCTTATTCCAGATAGAAAGTATAGAACTCTAAATGTTAATACACTAAAAAATTGAGAGTATACATTCTATGTCTACTGAAAAATAAATTTATTGCTTGTTGATATTTGTTCTTGAATTGGTAATATCAAGAAATCCCCTTTTAGTGAATTGTTTCCCAATAAAAAGTAATATCCATTAAAAATAATCTCTAAAAATATAAAATCTGTTGTATTATTTTAAATACCTGTGAGTGGACCAACATTCCACGCAATGTTGTTACACCATCCAATAGCCTGAACCCAATGCACAGTGCCAGCATTTATCCAGACCAAATCTCCAGGTCGCTGAATAAATCTATACACAGGAACATTTGCTTGATACAGGTCTTCCAGGTTAGGCCACCAAGAACTCATTAGGAAATTTAAATTATTTCTGGAAAAGAAAAAAAAAGAATAATCATAAAGACTATGTTTTAAATGTATAATCAAATGTAAGAAGGTTACCTCGAAAAATTTAAAATACCATTTTTAACTAAAATTTTGATTCACAAAATTACTGCAGTAATATCTGTTTCTAAAAGTGAGAAACACAGTGTAAAAGGATCAATTCTCAGCACAATGAACTGTAACTATCATCAGCTGATTTAATCAAAGTTACTTTCTCACACATATAACCCTATCTAGTCACCAGAATGACACCTGAAGGATCAGGGCTGAAGCCTGCCTAAATAGAAAAGTCTGAGTGTCTCCATCTACAATTAACTCAAGCTGTATAGTGTCTACTGTGAGTCAAATACATGAATTAAAGCCTCAAAAGTCTGAAATTAAAACCTTCAAGTTACACTTAAATACATAGTCAATCAATTCCATCAATAAGGAACAAAAATTTTAAGAAATAAAGCCAAATATGGCAGATAGGATTGAGTATTTTCTTTAGCTGGGTGCTGGTAACTCACACCTGTAATCCTAGCTACTCAGAAGGATGAGATGTGAGGATCACGGTTTAAAGCCAGCTGGGGTAGCAAAGTCCATAAGACTATTATCTCCAATAAACCACCAGAAAACCTGGAAGTGGCACTGGAAGTGCTCAACTGAGAGCACTTGCCTTGAGCTGAAGAGCTGAAGAGTGCACAGGCCCAGAGTTCAAGCCCCATGACTGGCAAACAAAAAGAAAAAACACTAACATTTCCACAAAAGGCAAATGAATTAAGTTGGTAGTTTTATTACTTCCAAGTTCAAACAGTTTCTAATTATTACTTGTATTTACAAACTTTCATTGAAGGATTCTTTATACACTGTCTGAAAAGGAAGAAAGCAAAATCATGGTACAAAATAGTTTCTACTGAAAATAAATCAGCAAAATCACTAATCAATTATAACAAATAGTACAATACATATTCTCATTACTTCCACAAATAATGTTTTTCTGTAGCACATAAAGGATTTCTTAGATGATCATTTTTTTTCTGCTGTTTAAGTTACCAGTTTCTGATTAACATGTTATTGCAATTTGCTTATTTATTTTTTGATGCCAATTTGGGGGATTGAACTCAGGGCCTGGGAGTTGTCCCTCAGCCTTTTAGCTTCAAGGTTAACACTCAACTTCAGGTGACAAGTCAATTGAAAGTTAAGAGTCTGACTGACTTTCTTCCTGATCTGGCTTCAAATGTCAGATCTCAATCTTCTGAATAGCTAGAAATAGCAGCTTGGCCGATTGCTAAATTTTAAACTTCACACAAAATATTCTTTTTTTTTTTTTTTTGCTAGTAAATGAAGAAATTTTAGAAAGAGTATCCTTTTATTCTTTTTACTATGGAAAACTTTATTACCATCAAATACTGTCCAAGAGTATTTCTTATTAACATTCCCACTTATGTATGTAAAACATCTTGAGAGCTTGCTTGGAGATTCTAGTAGAGACTACTCATGTACCCTCGATGGATGATTGTTCTCACTGACATAGATTAAGGCTTTACAGGATACAGGTAGCAGTTAGGGAAGAAGTAGATATCTGCCTAGCTCCCCTGAGTAGTTAAATCAACTCGGAAGATCAATGGAATAGATAAGTGACAGATATCACAACTAGATCATTCTCATATCAAAATATTATACTGATTATACTTACTCCCTTTATCATTCTTCCTCCAGAACTCCACATACTTTGCAGACAAGCCTCAGCAATACTACAGTAATGTTTTTACCAAATAAAGCATATTTATGAAATTGTTTTAGATTTAAAGTACAAGTTACTGCAGGGCACCCATTACTCATGCCATAATCCTAGATATTCAGGAGGCTGATATCTGAGAATGGAGGTTCAAAGCCAGCCTGGGTAGGAAAATCTGTAAGACTCTTATCTTCAATAAACCAACAGAAAACTGGAAGTAGTGTTATGGCTTAAGTAATAGAGATCTTTCCTTGAGTTGAAGAGCTCAGGGACAGCTGAGCTCAGGCCCAGGCCCAGGCCCAGAACCAACCAAAACACACACACAAAAAAAACAAAAAAAACAAAAAATAATTTTACTTTAGAATGAGGAAATTTCTTTTACCAAATATAGTTTTAGAATGAACAAAACAAAACAAAAAAGTTACTTCTGTGAGACTGTAGAGAACAATAATGTACTGTGTATTTCAAAACACCAAAAAGACAAGATTTTGCTTTTTTCAAAACTATAATAAGGGGGCTGGGAAGGTGGCCCAGTGGTAAAGTGCTTGCCTCACATGCATTAGGCACTGGGTTTAGTTCCTCAGCATCACATAAGCAGAAAAAAGCCAGAAGTGATGCTATGGCTCAAGTGGTAGAACACTAGCCTTAGCTGAAGAGCTGAAGGACAGTGCCCAGGCCCAGAATTCAGGCCCCATGACCGACAATCATCATCATCATCATCATCATCATCATCATCATCATCATAATAGAGGAGAGAATGATGGAAAGATGATAGTCACTAAGATTTATTGTATCTTTTATACCAAATGTTCTCTGTTATATTGCTTTGCAAATAAACTTCTCTACAAAATTATAGTTAACTGCTGCATGAATTCTCTTGCTAGACTTGAGGACTTAAGTGATTTAGTGACTCAAAATTTTCTGGTAATGTATTTGGTGTCTAGCCAGGGATGTCAGGAAGGACACATCAAACTTTTTGCTAGGATTTTTCAACTGGTAACACTAGAAAGCAAAAACAATATGACCTCAGGAAGTAGAAAAGGAATTTAAATAAAAACTGTAGAAAAGAATTCTCTAATTCTTTTTTCTAATTTAAGTCGTTATGTTGAAAAATGAACTTTACAACTTTGCGGGGCGGGGATGATACGAAGGGATGGGAAGGGGAAACAAAGGAGGAGGCTACAATGCTTGATAAAGAAATGTGCTCATTATCTTACCCATGTAATTGTAACCCCTCTGTACAGTATTTTCACAACAAAAAATAAAAAATAAAAATAAATTAAAATAAGACACCTGCCACAGAAAAAAATATAAATAAATAAATAAATAAATAAAGTATATATGTGGTTAAATTAAAAAAAAAGTAAGAAAAAAAGCTTTTGTTTTGTTCTTAGAATCAGTTTTTTTTTGTAAGTAATGGTACTTGACTTTGGGCCTGGGTACTGTCTCTCAGCTCTTCAGCTCAAGGCTAGTGCTCTACCACTTGAGTGGTTTTGTGGTGGTTAATTGGAGAAAAAAGTCTCACAGACTTTCCTGCCCAGGCTGGCTTTGAACAGTGACACTCAGATCTCAGCTTCCTGAGTAGCTAGGATTATAGGTGTGAGCCACTGACACCCAGCTTAGACTTAGTTTTACAGCTGTTGTTGTTTGTTTTATTTTTTTAAAGAAAGAAACCAGGGATTGGAAATGTGGCTTAGAGATAGAGTGCTTTCCTAGCATGCATGAAGCCCTGGGTTCGATTGCTCAGTATCACATACACAGAAAAGGCCGGAAGTGGTGCCGTGGCTCAAGTGTTAGAGCAATAGCCTTGAGCAAAAGAAGCTCAGGGAAAGTGCTGAGGCTTTGAGTTCAAGGCGCAGGAGGGCCCAAAAAAGAGAGAGAGAGAGAAACCAGTACACTAGATTCTGAGCCAGGAATAAACGGGAGTGGCCTAGAACTGGAACTTCTGAGAGGCTGCCAGGTCAAGTTCTCCACACTCCTTCATACCATTTTCCTACCTTGAGCCCTTGAGGTGTGCAGGAGCTCTTGTAATAAAGCACTGATATAAAAACACTGGAACCAAATTTAAAATTTCTGAAAACGTCTCAGATTTTTATTTAAGCCAAGTATAAAATAAAAACTTATGATGGAGCAAAAAGTAAAGACTGGTATTGTATTTAAAAAGCATTCCTTACAAGTATATTCTACAATTCTACTATTCTACAATTATTAGTTAAGAGTTTTAAGAAACTTACTTTTCGCAGAAGTCATTCAGAACTCCCCAATAATCTTCAGGCACAACAAACCATTCACAATCACCAGGACCAATATTTATATTAACACAACAGAAATTATTATTTTCTTGGTGACCTGAAAAGTAAAATGAAGTGAAAGCCCAAATCACATTATAAATGTACATTTGGAGGCTTTTCAGGACTAATTGAAAAATAACCTGTAGAATAGGGAATAATACATAAACGGAAATAGACAATAGCTAAATCCCACTTTCTCCTCCATAAACCTCTTCACATGTTCATAAATATTATTATACAATAATGAGTTTTCTAAATGTAACTGAATTTCCCAAATTGATGTCAATAACTAACATAAACATTTATAAAACTTCTCTTATGGTTAAGTGGATAATATTGCCATAGTATGGAGTTTTAAGAGTTAAAAATAGAAACCTGGGGCAAAATGTGCCCATTATAGAATTGTTATAAATAACACATTATATACATTGAGCAAACTATAATATGCCACATTCTTCTAAACCATTCCTTAAGGGAATGATTCATAGGAAACATATGAAATACTATACTAATGATAACCAAAGAATAATATCCAAACATTTTAGATAGAATTCACAAAGAGGTAACCTTTAAATCTGCCATCTCCCATACTAGATTATAATGATAAAAATTTTACTGTGTATGCTTAATTTTACTTTCAATCATTATGAAAATATCAGATACTCAATGTCTGTGGTTATTCATTTAGGAAAGTATTTTAGGTATTGCATCACATATTTTAGATATCGTTGAATCTTGTTAAATCCAGTTCATGATATATAGGTTCATTCTGAATTAATTTTAGTGATAAAATTTAGAAAACTTGTATTGCAGTAAAGTTTATTGTCATGAATTTATCCACTTATAAAATGATTTAGTGTCTCTATCTTGGTTTAAATTTTTTCAGATAGGCTGGGAAGGGAGGTGAAGGGTAAACAAAGGAGGAGGCTGCAATGCTTGGTAAGAAATGTACGCATTATCCTGCCCATGTAATTGTAACCCCTCTGTACAGTATATTCACAAATAAAATAAAATTAAATTTAAAAAAATTTTTCAGATCATTTTGCCCTTTGAAAATCTAATAAGTAAAAAACACATTATAAATGACATGGATGCCTCACACTGTTGTACTAGCCACTCAGAAGGTGGACAATTAAGGATCATGTTTGAAGCCAGCCTGAACAGGCAAAAAGCCAGTAGTGGAAATGGGACACAAGATGTAGAGCATTAGCCTTGAATGAAAAGCTAATAAAAATGGCCACAGGCCCCATACTGGCAAAACAATCATAGATGACTTTTTAAAATAGCTATAAATATTACAACCAATAAAAAAGAACTTAAAACCATGTTGGCTCTGGGATTGGAGGTGTGGCTCAGTTGGTAGAGTGCTAGTTAATAAGCAAAAACATCAGGTATGGTCTTTAACTATATAAAATATGTATTAGTTTAGTCACCTGGTATTCTACTTCCTGGAACTTGCATATATAGTTGAACTGTATTCATGCCCAATATGGTATAACCAACATGGCTTAGAAGATTTCCTGCTGATACAACACGTACAAAAGCAGGAAGTTTAGTCAGTTCATGTAACTGCAACTTCCATCTGTGAGAAAAAAAAGCAAAAAACAGGTTGAGAACAAAAACCTCTGAAAACACTGACGTTAACTAGGTCCTCTAAAGAACTGAGATAGAATCAAAATACATTAAATGTTTTACCATTGGGTAAATAATAACTAATATTAGTGCCTCATAAAAATGTACTATGAGCTGGGAAGGTGGTTCAGTTGTAGAGTGCTTGCCTTGCATGCATGAGGCCCTGGGTTCAATTCCTCAGCACCACATAAGCAGAAAAAAAAAGGTGGAAGTGGTGCTGTGGCTCAAGTGGTAAAGCACTAACCTTGAGGTGAAGAGCTGAGAGACAGCGCCCAAGCCTAGAGTTCAGGCCCATGACCAGAACCAAAAAAAATAAAATAAAAGTGAAAATGTACTAGTCCTAAAACAAATTATTATTCCAAAACATTTACGTTCATTATACTCCAGCAAAGGAAAAACAATTTCTATTTTTAAATTTGGAAAATAGATATTCGAGTCTTTGGAAAAAATTATCTATTTGAAAATTCTTGAAAATAACTTTGAAATGTTACAATTTTTAGAGAAAATGACTAGAGATGGAAAAAAGAAAGCTAGACAATTTCTAATCCTAGGATTAGTCCTCTGCTTCAGTTCACAAAATAGTATTAGGAATGAGAAACTTACTTTTTATTATCAGAAAGGTCAATGTTGATTCCAGATTTTATGGTTTTGAAAGGTCCTTTTCTCTTCATCCCAGAACTCAAAAAAAAAAAAAAAGAGAAAATATTAAAGCCAACTCTTTCACATGAAAATATTAAGTAGATGCAAAATTTTACTTACTTTTCTGAAGATATAGATTCATTATCTGAATAGTCTTTAAGTTGGGTTTTTCTTTCATTTTCTTCCTATATAGTAAGCAAAATATTACCTTAGTATCCTGTAACAGACTACACAATTTCTAAAACACAATTAAAATATTTATCCAAACAAGTAGCAATGTCTATACTTTAAACACTGAGATCTGAAATAGGCATTAATGGCTCAAGCCTGAAATCTTTTTTTTTTTCCTTTTGGGGTGGAGGGTGTCAGTCATAGGGCCTGAACTCTGGGCCTGGGTGCTCTCCCACTTGAGCCACAGCACTGCTTCTGGCTTTTTCCGCTTATATGATGCTAAGGAATCAAACCAAGGGCCTCATGCATGCAAGGCAAGCACTCTACGACTCAGCCACCTTCCCAGCCCAAAGCCTATAATCCTTTACAAAAAGAAGAGTTCAAGTGATAAAGCACCCACAAGTACAAGGCTAAGGAATCAAACCAAGGGCCTCATGCATGCAAGGCAAGCACTCTACGACTCAGCCACCTTCCCAGCCCAAAGCCTATAATCCTTTACAAAAAGAAGAGTTCAAGTGATAAAGCACCCACAAGTACAAGGCTTTAAGTTCAACACACACACACACACACACACACACACACACACACACACACACACACACACACACACACAGAGTAGAATTTTAGACACAAAAGTTTATGCAATTATGATCCCACATACATATAAATTCAGTAATGTCCAAAATTTTTGGATAGAAAAAATACAAAAGAGATTTCAACGCTAGAGAGAGTAAAAGAGTTATTGCTTTATAGACTTAGTATTTTTTATTTAGATGCTGAAAAGTTGCTGGAAATAATACTGGTACTAGATGTATTTGTTGCTGTTCAGTCACAAAAAGAAGTTAGGTCATTTTTAACATACAATAAAAGTTCTATAAGGTTAGGTTTATCCTAACAATACTATGGTTAAAAGTATGATTTAAGCTGACAATTTTAAATATTTTCTGGAGATCAATGATCTTAAAAAATTACAAGTTTCTAAATGGAGTTACTTGTGTCTCAGCTTCTGTGCCTGAGACCAATAGATCTCTCTGCTAAGGCACTGTCCTTTTTTATTACTTCCACCATCCTCTTTCCTATTCAGAACAAAATAAAAAGGTGACAAGAATTTACCAGAAGCTTTGTTTCGTTCCTGAGAACCTGTAAAAGGAGCTATATCCATTGATGAGAAGGAGAGCAGAGGGAATGTCCACTAAAAGCAAGCCCTTGAATCTACTCTACTGCTCCAAAATAAAAAATAAACCATTAGCCTCTCTTATTAAGGACATTTATTTCTACTGTCTTCAAAATTTCTACCTATTCCCAATGGAGACAGGAAAATCACAGTTTGAGGCCAGATTGAGCAGGAAAAAAAAAATGAAAAAACAAAAACAAAAAACACCAAACAAGCAGAATGTAATTGCTTACTTGTTTGTGATATCAGGTAATAGACAGAAACACTTCAGTACAAGTCCAGCCTTAGGAAAAACTCACAAACTTTTAACCAAAACATTTAGTTACTATATTTTTAAATACTAAATACTCTGAAGCATTTCTAGTTTTGCTTCTGAAGCTTTATTTAAAAATCAATTAAAGCCCTTGCTGTATCTTGTACAGTGTTCAAGCCCCACAACTGACAAAAAAGTATACATTCCAAAAACTAGAAACATCAAATAAAACAATCTTACTTTTTCTATTAAAAATATTTTGTTTACATAAGCTTGACTAATTAAAAAAAGTTAAAATATAAAGATATGGTGCTGGGAAGGTGGAAGTGGTACAGTGCTTGCCTTGCATGCCCTGGCAGCACCACGTAAACAGAAAAAAGAGGCCAAAAGTGGTGCTGTGGCTCTAGCAATGAGCTAAAGAGCTGAGGGACAGTGCCCAGATCCAGAGCTCAGGCCCCATGACCGACAGAAAAATAAATAAATAAAGATGTTTTAGTTATTTTTCGTTTTGCTTTGGTACATCTTGTTTTTTTTTTTTTTGTATTTGGGAAATTTGTTTGTTTTTTGCTAGTTCTAAGGTTGGAACTCTGGGCTTGGGTGTTCCTGATCTCCTTTTGGCTCAAGTCTAGAGCTTTACCACTAGGGCCCAGCAATACTTTCAGCTGCTTCTGTGATTAATTGGAGATAAAAAGTATCACAGATTTTTTGCCCTGGTATACTTCTATGGCAGACCTCTGATCTCGGCCTTCTGAGTAGTTAGAATTATAAGAGTGAGCCACCAGTGCCTGGCTGATACGGTTCCTTTCTTGTTTTGTTTTATTTTTATTTTCTTTCTTTCTTGGGGGGGGGGAGGGGGGTCGGTCATGGGGCCTGAACTCTGGGCCTGGGCGCGCTGTCCCTCAGCTCTTCAGCTCAAGGCTAGCACTCTACCACTTGAGCCACAGTGCCAGTTCCGGTTTTTTTTCTTTTTGCTTATGTGGTGCTGAGGAATCGAACCCAGAGCCTCATGCATGCAAGGCAAGTGCTCTATCACTCAGCCACCTTCCTAGCCCTTATTATTATTTTCAAATACTTATACAAAGAGGTTTTAATTTAACATGTCCATTTATGTGCATATCACATCTTGAACAGTTATTACTTCATGTATAGTTTAAATGCATAAAAGATATACCAAGCTAGTAATTATAAAAGTTAAAACATACTCTCCTCTTCAGTTTTAATATAGAACAAACTTACCCGCAATGATTCTTGGAAGGAGGAGGCTTGGTACTGTGCATACTTAGCAATTGTAGTGTGTGAGCTATTACTTTCATAACGCCAAATTTTCTTTGTTCCAGTGGGATCCCAGTTTTCTTCTGCTGGTTGCAGTAATTGTGTTCTCACCTCTACCATATGTTCATTGTTAACTTCTACCAAAGTTTTGGTAGAGAAAAGTCCAAGATCTTAATAAATATATAAATGTTGTTAAAAAATAAAATATAATAAAGAGATACAATAAAAATTTCAAAGTTCTTAAAACTTCAATTTTGTAGTCAGCTTCTTGTAAAGTAGCTCCAGTCATTTAGTACAAGATTTGCAAAGCAGTTCTTGTATTTTGCCATTGATGACAAGTGTAACAAGCAGGCTGTGGTGTTTATACCAGGATAAATACTGTGCATATTTCATATTCAAAATTTTTCTATTGTATGACTAAGTATTTATTATGTAGTATCTAAAATTGAAGTAAAAAATCCAACAAAGAAATTGCCAAAAACTAATCTCACATCATTTTGCAGATGTTCATTCTTAAACATAAGATTTACAGTTAAAACAAAGTGCTCTAAAAATGCTATAAAAACTTTCAAGGTTTTAATAAGAGGCAGATATAGATATGGAATAAAGAGTCACAGATGAATGGAAATATTCTTATGGAGATAAAGGGTTAAGATAAGGATAAAGACAAAAAAATCGCAAAAGAAAAAAAAAAAAGAAAAACCGTGATACGGCTAAATTTAAAGCATTTTAAATGCTAAAAGTATTTCAGAGTTTCTACTGATGTTCTAAGTTTAATGGTAGTAAAAGAAATGTTTAAAATACTTAAAAATCTTACCTAATTTAAGAACTCCAGCAAGACCACGAATTACTGTAACAGGGTTTTTTGGATTTGTACAAAATTGATGTAATGGAGGAAAGAAAGCATCACGCTTATTTTCCAACTGTAAAGTTAAAATATTTGTTAGATCTCAGAGAAAATGACCGTGTATATTATACTGCAAGGCAGTATCATATTTTCATGAGTCTGGCAGTTTAAAATGCACATGCATCTTAATTATAAATACTGTGGTGTAGATGAGTCCTAAAACAGTATGAGTTATTATAGCGACTCAAGATTCTCAAGTACTTTTCAAGTATACCTCTAGTAATTCTACAATAAGTATGAGAAAGAATATTAAATTTTAAAATCAAAATATACTTTAAAAACTAATGTTGTTAAAGTATAATCTCAATTATATACTTATTTCCTCAGTATTTATTTTATCTGTATTCTACTTCCATTTTATAAAAGCATCAACAAATTTTAACTGGAGAAAGGAGCAGAATAATTATGCAGAAAAAGAGTCAATCTTAAAAACCTTCTTATAAATACAAGTTCATTCTAAACACTACATCTTTGCCAAGTATTTAAATATTAGTTTAATGGCAAGTGGAATTAAAATGGTGTTTGCGCAGGCACTGATTGCTTATGACTATACCCTAGCTACTCAAGAGGCTGAGAACTGAGGCTTACCTTTCAAAGCTAGTACAAGCAGCAAGAAAGTTTGTGAGACTCTTATCTCCAATTAACTTCCAAAAAGCTGGAAGTAGAGCTGTGGAAGTAGATCTTCCTATTTAAATCCCCAGGGAGGTGGGATCACGCCTGCACATCCACGCCTAGCCTTTCTTATAGAGATAGAACGGGTGGAGATGTAATCTTCAGCCTTTTGGGAAGCTGCTGAGGCAGGGTCACAGTACCACTCCCACATATTAGATAACAAATATTTTTTTCTACAAGCTGGTCCTCCTGATCTCCCCTTTCAGGATTGACTAAGTTACAGGTAACTCAAAGGCACTTTACTAGACAAACAACTTTTTCTTTTAAGCCTTGTGAATTCAGGGCCTCATGATTGCTTACTGAGTCATGTCTCCACCCTGTATTTTGCAATTTTATTTTGGAGATGAGAGTATAGCAAACTTTCCTGCCTGAACTGGCTTCCAACTAATTACTCATTGTCTTAAGTAGCAAATTACAAGTATAAATTACTGTTCTAGCTTGATCTTTATTTCTAATGTAGGACATTTTTTTTCATTTATACCTCAAAAGGGAATAAATTATGGACTGGTACAAAATTTCAGGAGAATGTAAAAATTAGCAGATATAAACTAATTTCAACTTTCTACATAAAATATCTTGCAAAAAAGCAAAGTTGACAATTCTAATTAATGTTTTTTTAATTTTTTGTTTTATTTTTTGCTAGTTCTGAGGTTTGAACTCCAGGCCTGGGCTCTTACCCTGAGTTCCATTTGCTCATGTCTAGCTCTCTATCACTTGAGCCACACTACCACTTCTGTTTTTTTCTGTGAATTAAGTGGAGATTAGAGTCTCACAGACTTTTTCCCACCCAAGCTGGCTTCCAACTGCAATCCTTAGGTCTCAGAATCGGAGCAGCTAGGATTACAGACAATTAATGAAATTTTAAGGACCATAAAACTAGCAAGTAGTAGATTCAGAAGCACATTTTAAAAAATCTGACAATAGAACAAATAATTTTGTTGCTCACATAATCTAAGGAAATACTTAGAATGAAATTTAAAATATGTGCTTCACAAAATGTATTTAATATAGTACTAGCCAACAAATTTTATGGTCAGAGCATAGCCAATAAATTATCTTATTTTGTGTTAGGCTACCCTGAACACTCATTTTTCAGACATGGAATACCAACATGCATTTCTGAAAAAAATAAAGAAAGTAATTATTCCCCCAAAGGGCAAATAACAATAATTTAAATGTTTGTGTATCTTCTAAAGTAAAACAAATTCAAACAATTTTCTAGTTATTCAACAGTGACTCACATAAATGCTAGGTGTGGGTGGATTCAGCTTCTCCTTTGGCAAGGGAGGGTATGGTGAAGTTGGTGGTCTTGGAGGCGGACATTTATCCAACAAAATATGACTATTAGACAAACCATTTTTACCTACGTTCCTTTTTAAAAAGAAAAAAGGGAGCAGAATAAAGGTTATCAGATATATAATATTATTATTTATTATTGTTGTTGTTGGAATGCATCCCTGAAGTTTTTTGCACAACGCAAAATTGTTCTACCACTTGTGTCACAACTCTACTTCCAGCTTTTCTGGTAGTTAATTGGAGATAATAGTCTTATAAACTTTCCTACTGGGCAGACCTCAAACTGTGGACAGGACCTGTCTCATAAGTAGCTAGGAATACAGACCTACTTTTTTAATGAAAAGAAAATTGAATTAAAAAAATTAAAAAATTGAATTTACCAAAAAGGCTTAAATATCAATATCACTGAATATTGCTTTCCCCACATTACATGTTGTAATTATTCCCAAATACATTTTAGTCACTCCCGAATCCAGAAAATCTGTTTCTGTCTTCTCAAAATTTATTTTCTATGTAATTACTTCACTGTCATTTAAGACTCCAAAACTTACAAAAACAGTAATTTATAAATAGAATAGACATATGGCATTGACGGTATAGTTAAAATGAAATTGAAATTGAAATCACAAATGTTCAGGGTGCACAGAAGTTAGCTATATTATACATGTTTGATTCACTTTTCCAAGAACAGTGACCAATTTTCACTAAACATACACCTTTTTCAATAAATTTCAAATTTTTACTTTATCATTTAAATGTAGAAAATCTAAATACACTATGGCTTGCTACAAAGGCATTCTTAGATTTTTGGGGGGGTTGGGAGGAGACATTTTCACAAAATAAAAAATATACACAAAAAGTTGTACTCAATTTGAACACTAAAATATGGGAAGACCAAATGCTCTTGGCATCAGCTGAATTGCATATTTAGACAAGCATTAAAATGTTTTTTGCGTTTCTTTTTTTTTATGGATCTGGGCCATGGATCTACAGGTCAGGGCTTGGATGTCATCCTTGAGCTTTTGTACACGAGTCTACCACTTTGAGGGATAGTTCCACTTGCCACTTTTTAGGTGCTTAATTGGAGATAAAAGTCTCATGGACTTTCCTGCGTGGGCTAGCTTCAAACCTCAATCCTCAGATCTCAGCCTCCTGTAACTCCTGAGGTTACAGTTATAAGCCACTAGCACCCAGATACATTTATTTATTTTCCATTTAGTGGAGTACTGTATTTGCTAAATTGTAAACTTTTTACCTCACATTAAATTATTTAAAATTACATAAAGCCCTAATTTTTCTTTGTTAAATATTCCTTACTAAATCATTAATATGTGAATTCAGAAGCCTTTAAAAAAAACTTTAAAAATTACTTGTTCTACCTAATTCTTAAATTTCAAAAGTAACTAATATATTACATATCAAAGATAGAGGATTAAAATTCCATACAAGAATCTGAAACCATTTTAGAGAACAAAAGTTTAGCAGTAATGGTGTTTCCTTCAAAAGAAACTATATTTTAATTTCAAATCAAAGAACAATAATTTGAAGTTATCTATTTTATTTTGCTATACCAGAAAAGCTCAAGTAAGGTTTTTTATGTGTTGTATTGTTTATGGAAACTAAGTATTAAAATGAAATATAAACAAACTTGATATTTTCTATTAAATATCCTTTAACTGTGTTTAACATTCTTTAACTACAATAATTTATTGCAGACTTTCAAGCTATAAACAAAGCTTAAAATTACTGACTTTTTTAATTTAAAAAGTGTAAAAATCTACCGAAGTTAAAAATTCAATTTAACTTATAAGAATAGTATTCTAGCTGGGCACCAGTGGCTCACACCTGTAATCCTAGCTACTCAGGAGGCTGGTATCTGAGGACTGCAGTTCAAAGCCAGTCTGGACAGGAAAGTAGTCCATGAAACTCTTATCTCCAGTTAACCACCAGAAAACTGGAAGTGGTACTGTGGCTCAAATGATAATAGAGTGCGCCCCTTTTTTTGGGGGGTGGGGTGGGGGGAGAGGGATCCAGTCGTGGGGCCTAAACTCTGGGCCTGGGTGCTGTCCCTCAGCTCTTCAGCTCAAGGTTAGCACTCTACCACTTGAGCCACAACACCATTTCCAGCTTTTTTCTTATATGGTGCTGAGGAATCGAACCCAGGGCCTCAGGCACCAAGGCAAGCGCTCTACCACTGAGCCACCTTCCCAGCCCCTCAATAGCTCTTTAGAAAGCATTAAGAACAATGTTTTAAAACACTTTACCCTTTAAAACTTAAATGTAGGAATTTGTAAAGTATACTACTTTGTAAATTATCCTAATTTGTATATTACACATAACTGTTGTTTTTTCTTTGGTAGAAACCACTGAACTCTGAGCTTAGTACTTTCTATACAGGCACTCTACCAAGTCACAGCCAGCCCTTTTTAATATATTTATTTTGAAATAATGTTTCAACTTTTATGTCCAAACTGACTTGAACCACAGTTTTCATAAATAACAATTCTTGTCCAAGCTTGGCTGACTGAAACAACCAACAACATCTAGCCTTTTCTGCTGAAAGTCTCCCAAAAATTTTGCACAAGGTGTCTTGAACTGAGATCTTCCTGAATAGCTAGGATCATACTCATGAAACATGGCATCTAGTCTTTTTTTTTTTTTTTTAATAAACTGAAAAAACCTGGCTGATGGAAATAATTCAAGTAACTCAGTAGGACAAGCACAATCCTCAGTCATACTTTCTACATATAAAAAACTAACATCAGTGCTGAATTGTAACAGTCACTGTACTTTTTTTTTTTGTCGGTCATGGGGCTTGAACTCTGGGCCTGGGCGCTGTCCCTCAGCTCTTCAGCTCAAGGCAAGCGCTCTACCACTTGAGCTACAGCGCCACTTCCAGTTTTCTGGTGGTTTATTGGAGATAGGAGTCTCACAGTCTCTCCTGCCTGGGCTGGCTTTGAACCGTGATCCTCAGATCTCAGCCTCCTGAGTAGCTAGGATTTACAGGCGTGAGCCACCAGTGCCCAGCTTCACTGTACTTTTTTTAAAAAATTACTTTTAGCAAGACTGTTAGAGGTTGAATTAATGTGTTTCATAAATAATAAACCATGTAGAAGACGATGTTTCATAGTGAATTTGCCTTATGAAGGTATAGCTTCTTGTCTAGTGAAGTTATGCACTATTTTATTTATGCAATCTGTGATGTTCTCCCAGCAGAGGAATCACCTAGTAATTTTAATGCATGAGTCTAATAGATGTTATATTTTTAAGACATAAAGATTTACAAAAGGAAACAAGATATAAAGATACATGATTTTCTTTTAACATAAGCACTCAGACTAAGAAGAAATTGCAAACAACAGAAATGTGCCTCTGGCCAGGCATAGTGGCACAAGTCCATAATTCTAGTTATTTGGGGGATGGAAGTAGGTGGATCATAATGCAAGGACATTACTATGAAAATAAATAAATAAATAAATACACAATTAAAAAGGCAAAAGGACTAAAGGCTCAAGGGTTACAGCTGTCCATAGTAAGCTTGAGGTCCTGAGATCAACCCCAAATGCATATACAGAGACATAACAGACAAGACAGAGCAACTAAGAGAGAACAAGATGTATCTCTGTAAGGTCTCTAGTTTTACTATCTCAGTTTTGTTCTTTTGGGGAGAAATGGGGAGGGGCCTGGTGCTGTCCCTGAGCTCTTTTGCTGAAGGCTACAGCTCTGCCACTTTAAGCCACGGTGCTACTTGAGATTTCCTGGTAGTTAATACCAGTCTCATTGACTTTACTATCCAGGCTGGGTCTGAGCAACCATATCAAATCTCAGCCTCTTGGGTAGCGAGAATTACACTTATGAACCACAAGTTCCTGGCTCTATCTCAAAATTTTCAAAATGAAAAAAAAATGAAAATTTTTACTGGAAATGAACTGATTAAAAAATGTAGACATCAACAAAAAGCAAAGGATAGGCTAGAACAAGGATGCTGTTACTGATCCAATCATCTCTTTCTAAAATTATTCTTTTTTTTATGCCAGTACCAAAGCAACTCAAAACCTCCCACTCAGATTTGACTTTCATACACAAAAACTGCACTCTCCCACTTAAGCCAAATGTTACTTCTAGCTTTTAATGATTAATTGAAGAGTCTCATGGACTTTCTGCCCACGTTTGCTTCAAACTGCAATCCTCATATTGCAATATGCTGAATAGCTACAATTTAAGGTATGAGCCACCACAACCAAGCCAAAATCAATATGTTAGTCTATAAGAAAAAGAATGTGGGGCTGGGAAGGTGGCTCAGTGGTAGAGTGCTTGCCTTGCATGCATGAGGTCCTGGGTTTGATTCCTCAACACCACATAAGCAAAAAGAAAAAAGCTGGAAGTGGTGCTGTGGCTCAAATGGTAGAGCGCTTGCCTTGAGCTTAGAGCTGAAGGACAGCGCCCAGGCCCAGAGTTCAGGCCCCACAACCAGAAGGCCCCACCCCCCAAAAAAAGAATGTAATAACTACAACCAAGACCACCGAAGAACAAAGAGATTAGAAATCACTGACTAGAAGCTAGCATGGTGATAAACACATACAAGTGCCAGCTATTCAGGATGCTGATGTCAGTGGATCACTTGAGGTCAGGGATTCAAACCTGGCAATGTAATAATAATTCACTTGAAAACAAAACAAAAAACTGACAGTAATAAAAATGATTCCCAAGCTGGACACTGGTGGCCTGTAATCCTAGCTGCTCAGGAGGTTGAGATCTGAAGATCACACTTCAAAGCCAGCCTGAGCAGGAAAGTCCATGAGACTCTTATCTCCAATAAACCACTCGAAAACCATAAGTGGCACTGTGGCTCACGTGAAAGAGCGCATGCCTTGAACTGAAGAGTGCAGTGACAGTGCCCAAGTCCAGAGTTCAAGCCCTACAAACAACAACAACAACAACAACAACAAAAAGATTCCCCAAATAATTAATATTTCCCAGGTAGAAACTCTTTTCTTTTCCTTTCTCTAATGGTGAGAAAGTTATCTTTAGAATAGCTTTAAGAGAGTTGATCAAACCTGCTTTGACTAAAAATAAAAATGATTGAAGCTAAAGCAAGGTCAGGATGTGGGGGGAGAGTGAAGAGGTATAGAAAAGAGGTATAGTTAAGTCCATCACTACATCTTTTTTAAAATAATCTCAGCGGGGCATCAGTGTCTTACGTCTGTGATTCTAGCTACTCAGGAAGCTGAGATCTGAGGATTGAGGTTCAAAGCCAACCTGGGCAGGAAAGTCTGTAAGACTCTTATCTTCAGTTAACTATCAGAAAACCGGAAGTGGCACTGTGGCTCAAGCAGTAGAGCGCTCGTCTTGAGCTGAAGAACTCAGGGACAGCGCCTAAGCCCAGAGTTCAAGCCCCACAACCGACCAAAAAATAAAATAAAATAAAATAATCTCACTATGCTGCTTACTTTGAAAAAAAAAAATATGTAAAAATTAATTTTAAATTTTGTTTAAATAAGCTAATCCAACTCCCTACTTCAATGATTACAGAAATGAATGACATTCTGTCCACAAAATCTTTAACAATTTAATCTGCCTCCATAATATTTCTTAACTAGGAAAATTAATAAATTTTGTTTCTTTTCCTAAATTCTTAAAGACTTGTACTCTGAACAAGTTCCTTTACCAACTGATGAAGCTGCTAAAACTATCTATCTATCATCTGGTTCTTTGCTGCAATAGAATAATCCTCAACTTTGTAACCTAGTCTTTGAGATTCACTTCTTTCCCCACTCTCCCTTTTGCTGACACGGTCCTTTTTTTCATTGTTATCTGTTTTTCCCTTTTTTTTTAATGGTGTCTCTTTTCTAGAGGCAAAGTGAAAGATTCATTCACAGAAATGATTCCTGCAGAGAAAAAATAATAATACTTGCAGGCAAAAAAATTAATTAATTAAAAAGAGGGACAGTGCCCATGACCTGAGTTAAAAGCTCCAGGTCTGGCACAAAACAGTAAAAATAAATGGATAATACAACAATTAAAACAAGGTGGGGGAGCTGGGAAGGTGGCTCAGTGGTAGAGCGCTTGCCTTGCATGCATGAGGCCCTGGGTTCGATTCCTCAGCATCACATAAGAAAAAAGAAAAAAACCAGAAGTGGTGCTGTGGCTCAAGTGGTAGAGTGCTAGCCTTGAGCTGAAGAGCTGAGGGACAGCGCCCAGGCCCAGAGTTCAGGCCCCACGACCGGACCCAAAAAAAACCAACAAAACAAAACAAGGTAGGCACAGGTGGTGCCTACTATGCAGGGCTTAGGCAAAGTTGATTAATCAGCAAATAGGCAGAAACAGAGTTCTAGCTTATGTGGTAAAGTACCTTGGGAAAAAAGTCAAGCAATAGTGAGTTCAAACTCAGTAGTAGAAAATAAGTAATTAAAAGATATTTAAATAATTGAAAAGATATTGCCACCAAGTAATACGGGGTATTGATTCCAGAACTTCATGTCTCCTAGGCAAGAAGCTTTATCAGTTACGCCATACTCTTATCTTTAAGAATCTTGTAAAATAAATCTTCCAAAACCTGATAGGTTCAGGTATTGTTGCCTCAGGCCTGAAATCTTACATACTTAGGAGGCTGAGATTTGAGGATTATGGTTTGGACAGGGAAGATTTTAAGACTCTTTCCCAATAAACAGCAAAAAAACAAAAGTGGATCTGTGGCTTAAGAGTACCTGAATTAAGCAAAAAATAAAGCTCAAAGATAGCACACGGACCCAGTGTTCAAGCCCAAGGAACAACATAAAAAATTATAATAATCTGAAAGGTTTATTTTCAACATGATACAAATGCAGTAAAAGAACCTATTATAGTCATGAGGGCTAGAGGCATGGTTCCAGTGGTAGAGGTCCTGCCTAGCATGTACAAGATCCTTTCAAGTACTACTCTCACCATCCCCCACACACAGTGTGTTTGGGTTTTTGTTTGATGTTCTTTTTCATTTTTATTCTTTGGACACTTTACCTTATTTTTATGCCAATTCTTGGACTTGAATTTAGGGTCTAATTCTCTCTCTCTTTTACTATGAGGCTGACTGACACTTTACCACTCCACTTCTGGCTTTTGCTTGTTACTTAGAGATCAAAGTGTCACAAAGCTTTCTGCCCAAGCTTGCTTCAAACTCCAATCTTCAGATCTCAGCCTTATGAGTAGGTAATTATGGGGGTGAGCAACCAGCACCTGGATTTTCACACTTTGAAAGAGCTGAAATGTATTTCCATTGCCTCTGTCTCTCCCTATCCCTCCCCTACGCTCCCATTCCCTTGAACACAGAGTTTTTTATCCTTCCTCTGTTTTTGCTTAGCACTCTACTTAGTTGAGCTAGACCTCTAGTTCCAGCATTTTGCTGGTTAACTGGGATAAAAGTCTGACAGGCTTTCTTGCCTAAACTGGTTATAAACCATAATCCTCAGATCTTAGCTTCCTGAATAGCCAAGATTAGCAGATTTGATCAACTGGTGTCCATTTGCTTTATTTTTTAAAAAACAGATCAAAATCATATTTCAACTCTTCTGAACTGACAGTAATCAATCATTTTCATTTTCTATGAATTTTTTCCATACTAACCTGCATGCCTTCAGAACTTCTGCTGAATTGGAATATATAGACACAGACATTGATGGTATCTGAGGATGTGATTTATGATTAACTCTAGGCAGATCAACATTTATAGACGTCTGTGAATTCTCTAGTTCTTCTCCATTAATTATGGGTAACCCATTAGGAGGACTGCTGAAGTTGGTAACAGTGTGTATATTAGTCTGGTCAGTGGACATTGGAGATGTTGCTATAGAAACGGATGAAGAGGGTGAAGAGAAAACATAATTATCAGTCTTTATATGAACAGCTGGATAACAATTACTGACTTTGTCACAAGTTCCAGTATCCATATTGTCATTGGCATTTTTAGCAAACAAGGAAGATAGCTGATGATTTTTATCTTCAATTGCTAAATTTGGTGAAACAAAACCTCCACAGTTAGGACTAGCAACTCCTGTCATCTGATGGACATAATTAGAAAGTCTCTTGATACCAGGACAACTATTTGATGTGTTTCCAGGATGCATACTTGTTTCAGACCCCAAGGATCTTTTTCTTGAAGGCTTGCTCTCTTTGACTAAGGCAATGTCTTTTTGTTCACCTGAGGTAGCAATATGAGAGTGCAAGGAGAGATGATTAAGAACATCCTCTTGTGTTGCTGGAAGAGAGTGATGTCCATTCTGGTTCTTCACAATCTTAGATGTCTGAAGATATTTGTTGGACTCAGTGGAAAATAAAGGTTGTTCATTATTAAATCCTGTCAGATATGAACTTTGACCTTTATGAAGACCCTAAAACAGGAAAGAAATAAAATTGGTATACCTATTAAGTATCCCATTGTACAAACTCAGAATGCATAAACACTAAGGACTAAAAGATTAAAATGATAAATAAAAGCATTGCCATTAAAAATATATATATACAATATCTCCAAATATTGTCATTATAAGAGGGCATATATTGAGAGTAAGCTAAGAACATTAGTAAATCCTGATGTGTACATTTTGATTTTCAGAAAAATATACCTATATATTAAAATGAAAAAGTATATTTTCAGTCACTGACAGTTACGAACACAAACAACATAAACCAATCACCAATTCATATTAAGTTTAATATACAAAATAAATTGCTTTTTCTGTGCATTCTATCCCTGAAGCTTTGAGGACCTCACATCTTGTTATGCTGGTTTTTCCTCAAGGCTGATGCACTACCACTTGAACTACATTTCTACTTATAGCTTTCTGCTAATTAATTGGAGATCAGAATCTTACAGACTTTTCTGTCTAGGCCACCTTCAAACTGCAATCCTGAGTAGCTAGAATTACAGGTATACCATCACCTCCCAAAATAAAGTGCATTTCTTAACATTTTTAAAGTTATGCTTCAACTTGAAATGCTGAGCAATTAGCAACAATCTTCAAAAGGAAAAAATCTCTAAGAATATTTTTAGGAATAGTTTATTGAATTTCTACTTTTTCCCCAGACCTCTCAAATAGATACACATTCTAAATACAATGTCATCAGTTAATGACTATTAATAGAGAGCATTTCCCCCAAAATTTGTTAGGCTACAAATATAAAGATACTGCTAAATAATATTCCTTCTATATCACCCTCCCTCCTTTTATGTTTTTCTTGGCGTTTTTTTTGGTGGTACTAGATATCAAACCCAGGGCTTTGTGCAGTTTAGCCAGGTGTTTTACTTCTGAATTTTATTCCTAGCCCATAATTTAAAGGAGCAACTTCAGAGTACTAGAAAGGTAATGAGAAAAATTGGTAGTAGTTGTGAAAGACAGTGCCATTCACTATAGTGATAATGGGTTTGTTAGAGGAATTCAGAGAAGTTGGAAAAATTTAGAAATTTTAGAAATCTAGGTTTGGAGAGCCTAGAGAAAGGTAAAATGATGTAAGAAGATTTTGACAGGTGATTTTGGTAATAGTCCAGGATGCTGACCAAAATATTGAAAGTAAAATGTGTTTGAAGATTTAGAAGGAAATGAGGACTTTCGGGAATCAAACCACAAGTAACCCAAATGCTTCATCAAAGTAAAGAACCTGAAGGCTTTTTGTCTATTCCATGATATTTTTGTGAGAGTATAACTTGAAGGAGATACATTAAACTAAGTGTTGTAGTGTATATTTATGGTCTCAGATATGTCAGGAAGGCTTATGGTTTGAGCTCAGTATAGGCAAAAATCAAGAATATTGTAACTCCAAAAAAGTGTATAATCCCAGTATACAGAAGACATAGTTAGGAGGATTGCTTTCTAAAGCGCAACAAAAGCAAGCAGAAACAAATGAAACAAAAATCCTAGCTGAAAAATTAAAGCAAGAAAGACTGGAGACATCAAATTGAAGCACATTAAAACACTAGAATTCAAGCCAAAGTATTGCCAAAGGAAACAAATAATAAATAATTAAAGGTGACAGGGTATTTATTTGGTAAAAGAAATTGTTTCAAAGCAGCAGAGCATTTAGGCAGTAACAACAGTACTACTTACTGCTTTTAAAAAACTACACTGAAGAATCAGCAGCAAAGAGAAATAGAGCAAATAGATATGGAAAATTTGGTCAGAAAAAGAGGTATCAGAAAAAGAGGTATCAAAAGTATCTCTTTAGTACCCAGCCAAAGAGATTAGCATCAGTACCATTGATAGCTGAATCTCCAGGAATCTCAGGAGTCTATAAGATTATAGTTCAAAGATATAGAAATGAATTTTTTTGTTATTAGGATAGAATTCTCTCCAAAAGAGAGATCCACATTTTCCAAGTAGAAAATGTGTGTTTTTTTAGGTTAGTTTTATTGGCAATGCAAATGCTACTATAGTCATGGCTCCAATGGCCAAAGTATAAATCTCCTTGGTGCCATCAATAGAATTCCAACACCTATAAGAAAGCAGGTTCAAGCCAGGCGCCAGTGGCTCATGCCTATAATCCTAGCTACTCAGGAGGCTGAGATCTGAGGAGCACTGTTCAAAGCCAGCCCAGGCAGGAAAGACCATGAGGTTCCTATCTCCAATAAACCACTAGAAAACCGGAAGTGGCGCTGTAGCTCAAGTGGTAGAAGGCTCACCTTGATGTGAAGAGCTGAGGGACAGCGCCCAGACCCAGAGTTCAAGCCCCATAACCGACAAAAAAAAAGTCAGGTTCAGAGTACTTGAGGGCAACTCTGAGAGAATGATGATATGTGATACTGTGAGAGTGGAGCCAAATCTAAAATGGAGAACTGAAGAAGTTAGAGCTAAGTCAAGAAAATGTGATATATTCATATATTAGTATATATACATATATTCATGTGCTATAAATATGTGTGTATATACACACATAAATATATATATACATATACATATATGTATATATAATGGAATTTTATCATCCATTAGGGAGAGTGATGTATGTCATTTGCAAAAAAATGGATAGATCTGGGCCTAAATTCCATACTTCCTATGTGGAAGCTGAAATTTACTTATAAATGTATAAGTAAACATTATGGAGTTGTATTTGTTGTATACATATGTATTAGCACAGTATGGTATATACAGGTAAAAATTTCAAATGATGTAATTCCTTAGAAAAATTCACAGTCCAACAAAAGGAATGTCACAAGAGTAGTGTTTGAAATGTGGAAGCCAAAAGGCGGGCTCTTGACACCATGCAGTAATATAAATTCTAAGTGTAACGAAGAACTCAATTACTGCAGGAGAGTTGAAGAAACTAGAACATAGTATAGGTATAGTGAAAGCTTCCTGAAAAGAACCTATGGGTACAACAGATAGGAAAGAAGTTGGACAAGCAAGTGGGACATGTCAAATCTCAAAATATGTTTCTGCATAGCTGAGGACATAGTTACCTAACTAAAAAGATAGCCAACAGAGTGGGAGATCTTTATATTAGACAAAGGCCTAATATCTAATATATACAATGAGCCTAGGAAACTAACTCCTCTAAATCTAATAAACCAATCACTAAATGGACCAGCAAACTAAGAAGAGAAAGACTTCTCAGAAGAAGAGGTAAAAATGGCTAAGAAATACATGAGTAAATGTTCATCATCCCTGGCCCTAAAGGAAATGAAAATCCATTATCCCAGTTAGATAGGTCAACATGGTGAATTCCAACAAAAAATGCTGGTGGGAATATGGTGAAAAAGGAATTTTACTGCACTGTTGGTGGGAATATAAACTTGTACAATCATTCTGGACAGCAGGCTAGAGGTACTTCAAAAAATACATAGCTCATCCCAGCCAGCCATACTGGGCATCTATGCTGAACATCATGAGCCAGAATACCATAAACATATACATACATGTTCATTACTGCACTATTCACAATAGCCAAGTTGTGGAAACAGCCTAGATGCCCTGCAATAAATGAGTGGTAGCCATAAACAAAGGAATTTCCTACAGTCATTAGAAAGAATAAAATAATATCATTTATAGGGAAATGGAAACTAGAAAACAATCATGTTAAATGAGGTAAGCCAAGCTTAGGGATACAAACAGCAGATGCATAGAAATTAGATGTTTAGAAATCAAAGAGACAGGGCTGGGAAGGGGGCTCAGTGGTAGAGCGCTTGCCTTGCATGCATGAGGCCCTGGGTTCGATTCCTCAGCACCACATAAGCAAAAAGAAAAAAGCCAGAAGTGGTGCTGTGGCTCAAGTGGTAGAGCCTTGAGCTGAAGAGTTGAGGGACAGTGCCCAGGTCCAGAGAGTTCAGGCCCCATGACCGGACCAAAAAAAAAAAAAAAAAAAGAAAATAAATTAAAGAGACAAACAGCACATATTTAGAAAATAGTTCTAAACTGGAATTACAATAAAGTATATAGGACTCTACATAAATACAGTGATACCAGAAGTGGATACTCTTAGGAGAAAAACACAAGGGCATAATGTTTATATGCTTCTTTATATTTTATGTAAAATTACCTATGTGTATCTTTTTTGTTTTTGTTTTATTTTGTTGTTGATGATTCTGTCTTCTTTTTGTTTCTTCTTCTTTTTTGAACTCTGGGCTTGGGCACTCTCCCTCAGCTCTTCAGCTCAAGGCAAGCACTCTACCACTTGAGCCACAGCACCACTTCCGTTTTCTAGTGGTTTATTGGAGATAAGAGTCTCCTGCCTGGGCTGGCTTTGAACCTCGATCCTCAGATCTCAGCCTCCTGAGTAGCTAGGATTACAGGCGTGAGCCACTGGCGCCCAGCTTTCTTTAAATATGGTATATTCAGTAGGTTGGAGGGAAAGCAAAGAATTGAAGGAAAAGAGTTAAAAAGTGCAGCAATGTAGCTAAGTGATGAGAGTGAACAGATGGAAGGGACTGAGAGAAAATGAGGGAAGGAAAGATACTTTTTGAAAGAAAATATACTCATTACTTGATTCATGTAATTTTAATTCCTCTGTACCTTATCTTTATAATAACAAAAAAGTAAACTGATCAAGATGCATTATACTTATAAAATAGTTTGTTGAATAGTAACTCTTCTGTCAACTCGTACAGGTAATAAAAATGTTAATTTAAAAAAAATTGAAATTTATGGCTGAATTTGTATTGAGTCTTAGAGGACTTCAGGGTTTCTGAGAAATACTAATAGTTACAACACCAAACACTCTTAGAGACAGACATGACTCTTAAAGAGGATAAAATCAGTGATGCTCATGATTATGATATATTCTCTCTAGAGGTAGAGATAAAGAAAATCTTGGGCCAGCTCCATCAAAAATCTACTGAATCTCATCTCAATCAGTAAGCCAGTATGATCATAATTAGAAAGTTGATCATAATCAGAAAGTT